CACACACACACACACACACACACACACACACACACACACACACTGTTGTCTCTCTGTTTGCCTGTTTGCTTATTCATGTATTTGAATTAATGAGAAGAGTATGTCGTACATGTACTCAATTATCAATTGTCTAAAACAAAAACTAGAAACAAAGTGAGGAAAGACAATACAAAACAGCAACAACAAAGACAACAACAACAACAAAACATAACCGAAAGCAGGAAAGACATCCCCCCCCAAAAAAAAAGGAAAAAAAAAGAAAAACCAAACTAACTAACAAAAAAGACAGGTGGTAGGAATAGAGGTTGTCAGTAATCCTACATTCCGTTCAGGCGTGAACATCCGGGAGGAAAACCCCTCAATCCACAAGGGTTAATAATAAATATCTGTCCACCAGCTATGTCGTGTTGCCAGTAGGGCTGGGCAATGAGTCCCTTTAGCAAAATCCGGATACTATGTTAGTGCACCTCTTTGACAAATAACATATGAACCGCTTCGGAAAATGGGTCAGAACCACTTTAAAAAACGGGTAGTATCATTTCAACAAAACGGTTTCAGGAAAAAAAGAGAGTTAAGAGTCTGAATTCAGATAATGTTTCATTGAGAATTATCCGGTTATCCTTATAGATTATCCGGATTTTGCCCACCTCTAGTGGCCAGCCCTATAAGCGTACGTCTGCTTGGTAGCCTGTTTTGTCAGGACAGGAGGAGTGGCCTTGGGCAGGACTTATACTTACCAGCGTGGTGGCTTTTTTTTTAAGTTCCCAGAATTTCCGTTTCACGTGGGTGCCGGTTGCCAAAAAGATATATCTATGAAGGTGGACATATATACATTTGTATATATATATAAAGCAGCGAAGCTAAGCAGTGGCTATCAGAGCACGAGAAGCCAAACTTCGAGAAGAGGATTGTGGTAGAAATCACAGCATAGGCTTTTTTTTACAATCATTGACGGTTATCTTGTGTTTAATATATATAATTTTTGTGTAGAATTTAGGGACTGAGTCGACGTCTTCCTTTAGTACTTTTTACAGAGAGAGAAGGAAAGACAGAACGAAAAAAATTCAGAAAGAAAGAAAGAAAGAAAGTAAGGAAAGGGAAAACATTCAGAAAGAAAGAAAGAAAGTAAGGAAAGGGAAAACATTCAGAAAGAAAGAAAGAAAGTAAGGAGAGGGAAAACATTCAGAAAGAAAGAAAGAAAGTAAGGAAAGGGAAAACATTCAGAAAGAAA